CCCACTTTGATTTTTATTATTTTCTTGTTTCTTGGGGTTCATTTTGCTCTTATTCTTTTTTTTTTTTTTAAAGATTTTATTTATTTATTTGACAGAGAGAGACACAGCGAGAGAGGGAACACAAGCAGGGGGAGTGGGAGAGGGAGAAGCAGGCTTCCCGCGGAGCAGGGAGCCCGATGCGGGGCTCGATCCCAGGACCCTGGAATCATGACCTGAAAGGATAGTCTTTCTTTCTTTCTTTTTTTTTTTTTTAAGATTGTATTTATTTGACAGAGCACAAGCAGAGGGAGAGAGAGGGAGAAGCAGGCTCCCCGCTGAGCAAGGAGCCCGATGTGGGACTTGATCCTAGGACCCTGGGATCATGACCCGGGCCGAAGGCAGCCGCTTAACCGACTGAGCCACCCAGGCGTCCCTCATTTTGCTCTTATTCTAATGAAGACTGAAACTTAGGTGTTTTTTGTTTGTTTTTATTTATTTGAGAGAGAGTGAGCACAAGCAGCGGGGAGCAGCAGAGGGAGAGGGAGAAGCAGGCTCCCTGCTGAGCAGGGAGGTGGATGTAGGGCTCTGTCCCAGGACCCTGGGATTATGACCTGAGCCAAAGGCAGACACTTAACTGACTGAGCCACCCAGGCACCCTGAAACTTAGGTTTTTAATTTGATTTGATGTCCCCCTTTTTTAATATAGATATTTAAACATATAAATACTTCCATATTTATTTGTAACATGTATATTTATATATGAATATAAGCACTGTCTTAACTGATCACATACATTTTCTTTTTTTTTTTAAGATTTTATTTATTTATTTGACGGAGAGAGACACAGCAAGAGAGGGGACACAAGCAGGGGGAGTGGGAGAGGGAGAGGGAGAAGCAGGCTTCCTGCTGATCAGGGAGCCGGACGTGGGGCTCGATCCCAGGACCATGGGATCATGACCTGAGCCGAAGGCCGACGCTTAATCAACTGAGCCACTCAGGCGCCCCCACATACATTTTCATAAATGCTTTCATTCAGTTCAAGATATCTTGTTCTTTTCTCTTTTTTTTTTAAGTAATCTCTATACCCAATGTGGAGCTCAAACTCACAATCCTGAGATCAAGAGTCGCATGCTCTACCTACTGAGCCAGCCAGGTGCCCTGGTTCAAAATCTCTTCTTATGGCTTTTTGATCCATGGGTTATTTAGAAGCATGTTGTTTAATTTCCAAATATTGTGGATTGCCAAATTTCCTTCTTTTGATATCTATCTAATTCTGTTGTTGTCAGAAAGCATGTTTTGTATGACTTTAGTTCTTTTTCATTTATTGAGTTTTGTTTTATGGTTTACCTTAGGGGTCCACAAACTTTTTATTTAAAGGGCTAAGTAATAAATATTTTATGCTTTGCAAAGCCATGTATGGTTTTTGGTTGCCATAGGTGAGACTTGGCCAATGGGCCATTGTTTACTGATTTTTTGCCCAACCTATGATCTATGCTGGAGAATGTTCCATGTGTGCTTGAAAAGAATGTGTATTCTGCTGTTGCTGGGTGAAATGTTACCTAACTACGAGCTAGTCAAGTTAGTTGATAGAACCGTTCAAGTCTTCTCTAGATTTGCTGATTTTTCTGTCTGGTTGTTCTAGCCATTATTGAGTAGTATTGAAATTTCCAGCTATTTTTGTTGAATTGTCTATTTCTTCCCCTCATTCTGTCAGCTTTTAATTCATTTACTTTGGGCCTCTGTTGTTAGTTGTGTGTGTCTTTTTATAACTTTAACATCTTCTTCATGAATTAACTTGTCATTATAAAATGTGCCTTTTTTTCCTCTTGTAATTTTTTTCATTTTGAACTGTATTTTTTCCCAGTTTTTTATTGTGCCAATGCTTAAACTCATCCTTTGACTGTCAGCCTTTGAATCTAAAATGATTCTGTTGTAGACAGCATATAGTTGAATCTTTTTTTATCCAGTGACAATCTCTGCTTTTTGATTGGAGTCTTTAGTATATTTAGATTTAATGTAATTATCACTATGGTTGGAATTATGCCTCCCATCATGCTGTTTGTTTTCTCTATGTTGCTTTTCATTGTTCTACTTTTGTTTCTCCTTTGATGTCTTCTTTTGTGTTAAATAGATTTATTTTATTTTATTTTTTTAAATAGGCTCCACGCCCAGTGTGGAGCCCAGTACAGTTCTTGAACTCACCACCCTGAGATCAAGAGTCAGATGCTTAACCGACTGAGCCACCCAGGCACCCTATAAATAGATATATTTTAAATGAACAGTTTTAATTCCTTTGTTTTGTTTTTGTTTTTCACTTTTTTTTTTAAGGTACTCTCTTAGTGGTTTCTCTGGGGATTACAATATGCATCTTAATTTATCACAGTTTACCTCAGATTAATATTCAGTTCCAGTAAAATAAAGAAATTCTTTCATTGTAATTATTCTTCCTCCCCTCATTGTTCTACTGTTGTCATATATATTACATTTTTATATGTTAGGTACCAAACATTGGTTTTATAATTATTTTTAATGTAATTGTCTTTTAAAGAAGTTGAGAGGAGAAAAGAGAAAAATATATTTATACCAACATTTACATTTATTTTCATAATTAATTATCAGTGTTCTTAATATCTTCATATAGATTTGAGGTATCGTGTTCTTTTAACCTGAAGAACTTCTTTAGTATTTCTTGTAAGGGCAGGTCTGCTAGTAACACATTTCTTTGATCTTTACTTTTCTGAGAATATCTTTATTTTACCTGCATTTTGAAGGATAATTTTGCTGGATATAGAATTCTTGTTTGACGGTTATTTTTCTTTCAGTATTTTGAATATATCACCCCGCTGACTTCTGGCCATCTGTGGTTTCTGATGAGTGGTTTTCCTCTTGCTGCTTTCAGGTTTTCCTGTTTGTCTCTGGCTTTTGACAGGGTTTGTACTTAAGTTATTTTGTTATTTTGTTCATCATCTGTGTACATTCCTAATAAACCATAATTTCATACCAAACTGATACAGTGACAGGATTTCACTTTAAAGCAATAGTCATATAATACTTACTTAATAATTACATGTATATGATGTTAATACCATAAGGAGGCATTATGAAGGTATTCAGTACGGGGCACCTGGGTGGCTCAGTTGGTTCAGTGTCTGCCTTTGGCTCAGGGCATGATCCCAGAGTCGTGAGATCAAGCCCCGCATCAGGCTCCCTGCTCCTCGGGGAGCCTGCTTCTCCCTCTCCCTCTGCCTGCCGCTCCCCCTGTTTGTGCTCTCTCTCTGTCAAATAACTAAAAAAAAAAAGTATTCAGTGCATACAGATTGAATGAATGGAGGATTGGATAATGACTCAGAATCATAAAACATTACCCCTTGCTCAGACTTTTTTTAATAAACAGCTTTATTGAGATATAGTTAACATATCATACAATTCACTTAAATTGTACAATATTTGAAATATTTATAGTGTAGCCATTATCATAATATAATTTTGGAATATTCCTTTCTCCCAAAATAGAAACCCAGTACTCATTAGCAGTCACTCCTTTCCTCTTCCACCCCCCACCACCTATACCCCTCCAGCTCTAGGCAATCACTAATCTACTTTTAGTCTCCATAGATTTGCCTATTCTGGACATTGAAGTTCATATAATATATCATGCTTCTTTCACTTGGCATGTTTTCAAGGTTCATCCTTATTATAGCATGTATTAGTACTTTATTTCTTTTTATTGACAATGAATATTCCCATTGTGTAGATATACCAAATTTTATGTATCCATTTATCAATTGATGGACATTTGGGTTGTTTCTACTTTTTGGCTCTTAGGAATAGTGCTACTGTGAATATTTGTGTACAGGTGTTTGTGTAGACCTATGTTTCATACCTCTTGGGTACATACCTAGGAGTAGAAATGGTGGAAAATCTGGTAACTATGTTTCACCTTTTGAGGTACCACCAGGCTATTTTCCAAAGTGGCTGTACCAATTTTACATTTCCACCAGTAGTATGAAGGTTTCAGTTTCTCTACACTCTCATCAATATTTGTTACTTTTTTATTCTAGTTGTTCTAGTGGATAGAATTTTATTTCATTGTGTTTTTGATTTGCATTTTTTTTGTGACTAATGATGTTGAGCATCTTTTCATGTGCTTATTGTCCCCTTTGTATATCTTTTTGAGAAATGTCTGTTTAGATCCTTTGTTTTTTTAATTGGGTTCTCTTTTTCTTATTGAATTGTAAAACTTTTATATATAAAGTCTGGATACAAGTCCCGTATCATATATATGATTTGCAAATATTTGCTCCCATTCTGTAAGTTGTCTTTTCATTTTCTTAATGGTATCATTTGAGCACAAAAGTTTTAAATTTTGATATAGTCCGATTTATCTGTTTTTTTCTTTTGTTACTTGTGCTTTGGGCTCTATTATTTAAGAAGCCATTGCCTAACCAAAGGTCATGAAGATTTACTCCTGTGTTTTCTTCTAAGAATTTTATAGTCTTATCCCTTACATTTAGGTCTATGATTCATTTTGCATTAATTTTTTATCTGGTGTGAGGAAAGGGGTCCAACTTCATTCTTTTGCTTGTGGAGATCCAGTTGTCCAACTACCATTTATTAAAAGACAATTCTTTCCCTCATTGATTTGTCTTGGCACCCTTCTCAAAAATTGACCATAAATGTAGGGGTTTAATTTTAACTCTCAATCCATTTCCATTGATCTACATATCTGACCTTATGCCAGCACCATACTGTCTTGATTACTGTAGCTTTGTAGTAATTTTTGAAATCAGGAAATGTGAGTCTTCTTTTGTTCTTTTTCAAGATTGTTTGCACCTATAATTTTATTTGGCAAAGATAATGGTGCTGTTGTTTGATTAATAAGGAATAATCCTTTCTCATTGTAACTTTTGCCTTGTATAGTTCTTTTAAGAATATTTGTTTTTCTAGCCTAGCATGTATATTGAGATCACAAATCATGAATTATGCTGGATAAGGGAAATGTTATTCTGCCTTTTCTTTAGCGGAAGATCCATCCAAAAGCTATGTGAAATTAAGAGACTTTGTGCTTGTGAAGCTTTGTCAAGATTTGCCCTGTTTTTCCCGGGAAAAGTTGATGCAAGGATTCAGTGAAGATATGGCGATAGAGGCACAACAGAAGTTCAAAATAAATAAGGTATTTTTATTTTGTAGAAGAAAAAAATTTCAGTTTGGAAGTTTCCTTTCTCTTTTTTGTTTAAGTATGTAACTTAAACATTGCAAGTACATTAAGAATACATGTGTGGGAAGTAGCAGTGGTTGAGAGTTCAGGCTCTGAAGCCAAATTGTCCGGGTTAAGATCTGGCTGGCTACAGCACTTAGTCTGTGACTTAGGGCAATTTAATTTCCTCATTAATAGAATGGGAAGATAGTTGATATTATGGCTATATTTAAAAAAGTGTAACAAGCAGAACAAAATAGTATGATCTTATTTTTACTTTTTTTTAAAGATTTTATTTATTTATTTGACAGAGAGAGACACAGTGAGAGAGGGAACACAGCGGCGGGATTGGGAGAGGGAGAAGCAGGCTTCCTGCCAAGCAGGGAGCCCGATGCAGGGCTCGATCCCAGGACCCTGGGATCATGACCTGAGCTGAAGGCAGACGCTTAACCGACTGAGCCACCCAGGCACTCCTTATTTTTACTTTTTAAGAAAACGTTTGATATGGCAAAATAGTTAATACATGTGGAGAAGTATATATACTTCTATATATTTGAATTTTAAAGTAGTAAATATCCTAAAATAGGTACGAAAAAATAATCTGGCAGGTCAGAGGAGGGAGTTTAGTTTATTATATTTGTGTATGGAAGGGAATCAGAGTTTTTCATGGGATGGAGATGCATTTGATCTAAGCCTTGAAGAATGGGTAGGATTTGGATTATGAAAGTATGTGAGGGGCGTCTGGGTGCTTAGCTGGTTGGTATCAGACTTGATTTCAACTCAGGTAATGATCTTGGGGTCCTGGGATTGAGCCCCGTGTTGGGCTCAGGATAGAGTGTGTTTGGGTTTCTTTCCTTTTACCCTGGGGCCCCAGTCACATGCACGCTCTCTTTCAAAATAAATAAAGAAATCTTTCAAAAAAGAGATGTGAAGTATATTCCAATAATAGGGACTAGTATATGATACTGTTACCCTCTCCTCCCTTGCTTCTAAGGTATTATAGTTCCTGATTTTTTTCACTTAGTCCTATGATCATCTTTTTTGAGATACTTTTACTGGCTTACTCTTCTGTATGTTCCCTAAGGATAATTCTTCCCCAAAGTTCTTTATTCAGTCCTCATTTTCTCTCATTTTCCTTATTCTACCTGGGAGATCTCATCTAATTCTCCAATGTAGATTTTCCTCTTGTACTCCCAACACTGTATATAAAAAGTTTCCTGGGACGCGGGTGGCTCAGTCAGTTGGGTGTCCGACTCTTCATTTCAGCTCAGGTCATGATCTTGGGTTGTGGGGTTGAGCCCCTGCATCTGGCTCCCTGCTCAGCAGGGAGTCTGCTTAGAATTCTCTCTCTCTCTCAAAATAAATAAATAAATCTTTAAAAAAAAAAAAAAGGTAAAAAATGTTTCCTGGTCACTGACCTGCAGCAGCTTAATTTGAACTGAAACTTTCCATCTTCTCCTACATTAAAACACTTTAATAGCTTCCTGGTTTTAAGATAAATATATGTCTTAGAAATATTTGGTATATCCAGACTATATTAAACCTTAGAGAATTTATTCAACAGCTCAGCTTTTTTTTTTTTTAAAGATTTTATTTATTTATTCATGAGAGACAGAGAGAGAGACAGAGGCAGAGGGAGAAGCAGGCTCCCCACGGAGCAGGGAGCCCGATGCGGGACTCAATCCCAGGACTCTGGGATCACGACCTGAGCCGAAGGCAGACGCTTAACCGACTGAGCCACCCAGGCGTCCCAACAGCTCAGCTTTTAAAAGAAAGAGAATATGAACACATTTTTCAAAGTCATGCTTTTTTTATTTTTCTTAAAGGAATTAAAATTTGGTATGGCACACTGAGCCCATCATAATTTGGACCCCACCAATCTTGGTAGACTCAACTTTCTGCCACCTTCCTACATGCTCTGGCGTTACTAAACCTCTTGTTATTTCCCAGCTATGCTACATCTTTCTTCCTTTTATATTGCTTTACGTTATCTACGCCCTTTGCCCTTGAAACCCCCTTCTCCTGTTCCTCCATCTTTGCCTTGCCAGATACTCATTTGTTCAGGTGTCCCTTCCAGAAAGTTCAAACATCATCTTCCCAGTCTACCTATACCTAATCTCTCCCTCACCCCAATTAAATACATAAGTGAAACAACACAAACAAAAAAACTATGGGCTACTCTTTTGGCTTCAGTGATACCAAGATTTCTTGATTTTTCTAATATTTCTTTGTTTTTCTCTGCCCTGTAACTGTCACTGTACTACAGGGTTCTGACCTCTCCCTCATTTTTTCACTGTTTATGCTTTCCTAACCAATACTATGGTTTTAACTCTTGCCTGTAAACTAATACTGCTTAAATCCTCATTCTTAGACTAGAGTTTTTTTCAGATTTATATGTTCTGGTGCCTTCTAAATCTCTCCTAGGCTGTGAAAACTCACTGTCATTCCACACCCTCCACACCCAACCTTTCCTCTTCTCTGTATTAGAATCCTTGTTCCTTTAGTATTCTTCCTGGTTCTTAGTTCATGCCTTCATCATTTTTTGCCTGATTTAATAGCACAACCTCTTTTTTTTTTATTTTTTTTTATTTATCTGAGAGAGAGAATGGGAGACAGCATGAGAGGGGGAGGATCAGAGGGAGAAGCAGACTCCCCGCCGAGCAGGGAGCCCGATGCGGGACTCGATCCAGGCACTCCAGGATCATGACCTGAGCTGAAGGCAGTTGCTTAACCAACTGAGCCACCCAGGCGCCCCTAGCACAACCTCTTAATTGGTCTCCCTGCCTTTCTTTTTGCTACCATTTCTATGTAGCTGAGAGAATGCTTTGCTTTTCTTTTAAAGATTTTATTTATTTATTTAACAGAGACACAGCAAGAGACGGAACGCAAGCAGGGGGAGTGGGAGAGGGAGAAGCAGGCTTCCCGCAGAGCAGGGAGCCCGATGCGGGGCTCGATCCCAGGACCCTGGGATCATGACCTGAGCCAAAGGCAGACGCTTAACGACTGAGCTACCCAGGTGCCCCGAGAATGCTCTCCTTAAAACTCATATTTGTGCACTTTGCTCATGCCCCATTTAAAATCCATCAACTGGGGGCACCTGGGTGGCTCAGTCAGTTAGGCGTATGACTCTTGGTTTCAGCTCAGGTCATGATCTTGGGGCCCTGGGATTGAGTCCCACATCGGGCTCTGTGCTCAGTGTGGAGTCTGCTGGAGATGATCTCCCTCTCCTCCTCCCCCTGCTCACACACTCTCTCTCTAAAATAAATGAAATCTTTTAAAAATAATAAAATAAAAAGTAAAATCCGTCACCTACTAGATAAAAGCCCACCTCTTTAATACAGTATGTAAGGCTCTGTGCTTCTGCTCCGTCCTCACGTCCCTTCTCACTACTTTTCCTTTTGTGCTCCAGCCGTGTCAAGCTGCACCTGCACGTGTGTGCTGTGTGCACTTGTACACTCACAGGGCCCTCTCCTCTTTCTAGACTGGCGTGGTCTCTTCCCTTTAAGATTTAGCTCCGGTTTTCTTTCCCCAGGAATCCTTTTCTAACATTTACACCATTCCCAGGCTATGCTACCATAATACCCAACTCATATTTCCATCATTAAATTAACCATACCTCAGTCATGCGTGTTACCCATTAGGCTGCTGGTTCCTCAAGGGCAGAGACTATCTTTTATTGTGTTTCATCCAGTACCTAGCACAATTTCTGGCCCATAGCAGATACTCAGTATATCCTGTGTTCTTTTGGGAAAGTGTCACTATTTTGTAATTAAAAGTGTTCATGTTTTTCTTTTGTTTCATTAAGCAACATGCTAGGCGGGTTTATGAAATTCTTCGACTACTGGTAACTGACATGAGTAATGCTGAACAATACAGAAGCTATAGACTGGACATTAAAAGAAGACTAATTAGTCCATATAAGGTAGGACTTTCCAGAGTCTTAAACATTATATTCTTGTCACTGTTTAAAAATGGAGAAGAGGGGTGCCTGGGTGGCTCAGTTGGTTAAGTGGCTGCCTTTGGCTCGGGTCATGATCTCAGGGTCCTGGGATCAAGCCCCATGTTGGGCTCCCTGCTCAGTGGGGAGTCTGCTTCTGCCCCTCCCTGGCTCGTGCTCTTTCTCTCTCTCTCAGATGAATAAATAAAATCTTTAGAAAATAAAAAATAAATAAATAAAAATGGAGAAGAGGGGCACCTGGCTGGCTCAGTCCATACATTATGTGACTCGATCTTGGGGTCAAGAGTTCAAGCCCCATATTGGGGGTAGAGTTTACTTTAAAAAATTTTTTTAAATATATAAATAATAAAGTGGAGAAGAAAGTGTAGCAATTGCTGGTGGATGGGACAATCCAAATCATTTTCCTAAATTAACTTTTACAAAAGTGAAAATATTCTTCCAGTTAGTTATAAGAAATTTTACTGTCATAATTTTCCAGTGTAAGCTATAAATCTGTTTTCATTCACTTAAAAACTAATCCCAAGGATAGTCTACCCATGGTTACTTTTTATTTCATATGTTTGCCATCTTTTAAAAATCTGAATGCTCAGACTTTTCCTGAATAAGTTATCTGGTTAATAGTCTCTAGTTTGTTCTAAACTAAACTTGTTCTAAGTCTCTAGTTTCCTAGTTGTTACATATATTGTCTTTGCAATTGCTCCCTTCTTCCTAAATATGACCTTCATTGCCATTTTTAACCTCTGTACTTTACCATAGCTGAAACTGCAGCATAATATTATTTACTTTTTTTTTTCTTCTTGCCCTCTACCCCTTACCCATTTTCTGATCTCCCATATTGTCCTCTCAGAAACTTGCCCTCCTAGCTCAGGTTTTTCCTCATCATCATTTGGCTATTATTGAGGTAGATATTGCCCATGACAGCCTGTATGAATGAGGATTTGCTGTGATAGCTGCAGCTTTGCAGTAAGCTGATTGGGGAGAATATTTGTTAATTTGTTCAATAAATAATTAATGAACACCTGACATGTGGTTGCTACATTTATATACACTATACCTATAGGCTTATACAGTGCAGTAGCTGGGAACATAAATGACAAATCCAAAAATTTTCTGTCTTATGGACTACCTAAAACAGGTTGTAATACATCGTCATGGTCTCTTGTGCCCCAAATTGTTCAAAGTAGCATTTTATTCTTTGATATTTATCACTTCAGAAACACAGAAAATTGGTAAAAATGGTTCTTTCCAAAAGTTTTAAGTTTTGACGTAATATTAATTTGTCATCTAGAAAATGTCTTTATGTTGAAATTTGGGCATATAGAACAATGTAATGCGATGTTATGGCAGCATTTCAGAATACAGGCACACCTCGGAGATACTGCAGGTTCAGTTCGAGACCCTTGCAATAAAATGAATATTGCAGTAAAGCAAGTCAAATGAATTTTTTTGTTTTCCAGTACATATAAAAGTAATGTTTACACTATACTATATTTTGCTTAGCGTACAATAGCATTATGTTTAAAAACTGACGTACCTTAGTTTAAAAATACTTTTATTGCTTAAAAAATGGTAACCATTATCTGAGCTTTGAGTGAGTCATAATGTTTTTGCTGGTAGAGTGTCTCACCTTGATGTTAATGGCTGCTGACTGTGATCAGGGTGGTGGTTGAAGGTTGAGGTTGGCTATAACAGTTTCTTAAAATAAGACAACAGTGAAATTTGTCACATCAGTTGACTCTTCCTTTCTCTATAGTATGCGATGTTGTTTGATAGCATTTTATCTACAATAGAACTTTTTTCAAAATTGGGAGTCAGTACTCACAAACCCTGCTGCTGCTTTATCAACTAAGTTTATGTAATATTCTAACTCCTTCACAGCATCTTCATCAGGAATAGTTTCCATCTCAAGAAATCACTTTCTTTGCTTATCCATAAGAAGCAACTCCTCATCTGTTCAAGTTTTATCATGAGATTGCAACAATTCAGTCACACCTTTAGGCTCCACTTCGCATTCTAGTCTCTTGCTATTCCACTACATCTGTGGTTACTTCCTTCACTGAAGTCTTGAACCCCTCAGAGTCATCCATGAGGGCTGGAATAAACTTCTTCCACATTCCCTTCGTTGAGGTTGGTATTTTGCCTCTTCCCATGAATCATGAGTGTTCTTACTGGCCTCTAGAATGGTGAATCCTTTCCAGAGGTTTTCAGTTTACTCTGCCTAGGTCTATCAGAGGAATCACTATCTACAGCAACTATAGCCTTAGGAAATGCACTTCTTAAATAGTAAGACTTGAAAATCGAAATTACTCCTCGATTCATGGGCTACAGAGTGGATATTGTGTTAGCAGACATGAAAACAACATCAGTTTCGTTGTACATCTCCATCATCTCTTGGGTAACCAGGTACATTGCCAGTGAGCAGTGATCTTTTAAAAGGAATCCTTTTTTCTGAGCAGTGGGTCTCAACAGTGAGCTTAAAATATTCTGTAAACTGTGTTGCAAACAGATGTGCTGTCATCTAGGCTTTGTTTTTCCCTTAGAGCATAGGTAGAGTAAAACTAGCATAGTTCTTGAGGGCCCTAGGATATTTGGAATGGTCATTGAGCATTGGCTTCAATTTAGTCGCCAGCTGCATTAGGGACCTGTGATTAAACCCTAAACAAGGGACTCAAGGTATCCTTTGAAGCTTTGAAGCCAAGCATCTCCTCTCTAGCCATGAAAGTCCTAGATGGCATCTTCTCCAATAGAAGGCTGTTTTGGGGTGCCTGGCTGGCTCAGTCAGAAGAGCATGTGACTCAGGGCACCTGGGTGGCTCAGTCGGTTAAGTGTCTGCCTTCAACTCAGGTCATGATCTCTGGGTCCTGGGATCAGGCCCCACGTTGGGCTTCCTGTTCAGCAGGGAGTCTGCTTCTCTCTCTCTCTCTGCCCCTCCCCACCACTCATTTTCTCTCTCTTTCTCTCTCTCAAATAAAATCTTTAAAAAAAAAAAAAAGCATGTGACTCTTAATCTCAGGGTCGTGGGTTTGAGCCCCACGTGGGGTATAGAGATTACTTAAACTTAAAAGAAGAAGAAGGCTGTTTTGTCTACATTGAAAATCTTTTGTTTAGTGTAGCCACTCTCATTAATTATCTTAGCTAGAGCTTCTGGATAACTTGCTGCAGTTTCTGCATCAACACTTGCTGCTTCCCCTTGCACTTTTATGGTATGGAGATGGCTTCTTTCCTTAAACCTCATGAACCAACCTCTGCTAGCTTCAGGCTTTTCTTCTGCAGCCTCCTCATCTCTCTCAGCCTTCAGAGAATTGAAGAAAGTTAGGGCCTTGCTCTGGATTAGGTTTTGGCTTAAGGGAATGTTGTGGCTGGTTTGATCTTCTATCCAGACCACTAAAACCTTCTCCATATCAGCAGTAAGGCTGTTTTGCTTTCTTATCATTTGTGCATTCACTGGAGTAGTACTTTGAATTTCCTTGAAGAACTTTGCATTCGCAACTTTGCCTGTTTGGCACAAGAGACCTACTTTTTGGCTTATCTCAGCTTTCAGTATGCCTTCTCACTAAGCTTAATCATTTCTGGCTTTGATTTAAAGTGTGAGATGTGCAATTCTTCCTTTCACTTGAACACTTAGAGGCCATTGTAGGGTTAATTTCAATATTGTTGTGTCTCGGAATAGGGAGACCTGGGGCGGAGGGAACACACCTGGTCGGTGGTGCAGTCAGAATACACACAACATTAAGTTCATCATCTGTGGCTCAGTTTGTGGTGCCCCAAAATAATTACGATAGTAACATCAAAGAACACTGATCATAGATCACCACCACAAATATAATAGTAATGAAAAAGTTTGAAATCTTGCAAGAATTACAAAAATGAGACACAGAGACATGAAGTGAACAAATACTGCTGGGAAAAATGGTGCCAGTAGACTTGCTTGACGCAGGTTTGCCACAGACCTTTGATTTGTAAAAAAACAGAGTATCTGTGAAGCACAGTAAATTGAGGTATGCCTTTACTAAACTATTTTAGTAAAGTAAAATAATTTATTGAATTATGCATTTTAGATAATTATTTGATGTTTTATATAGACAGATGTAGCACATGAGAGATGATGAATTCTAAGTGGTCAAAAACTCATGCCAAATAGGAATTTCTGTAGTTCATAAAAGCAAGTATTTTTTACTCTTAAAGAATGGTAATGATTTGATTTTTTATATTAAGTATCCTCACCTGCAAAGAAGTTGACCTATCTGAAAGACAATTGAAAACTGGTTATTCAATTCTTTGGGTTCTTAACACAGCTGAGTATCACCATCCTTGCACTAAAGCTTATACACAGATCATTTCTTCTTCAGAGGCTTGCTTGAACTGTATTTATAGTAATGTACATTTTAATAAGTTCAGTTATCCAGTATTCTGTCCCATTGAGAAAAACAAGAAAACTTGAGGGCCCCCCCCCCCGCTTTAGGTTGATAGTCCCAATGCTTGGGGTAGGAAATCTACCACAAACTTTAAGAAAGTCTAGAAATGAGTTAAATGTCCAATAGGCATGGGAGGAGTGCTGTGATTTCCTTGTTGAATGGATGCAGATGATTTTCTTCAATTTGTTGTTCCAGTATGATATTATGTACTTTGTTGTGTTATTACAGTATTCTCAGATGTAAAATTGTATTTAAGAATAAAGTAAGATTGCTTAATAATGAGTGCGATTTAGAACTTTTTTAGGTCTTTAAAATTATGCCTAATAGGGAAAGTTTGGAGTGTAAAATTTACATGTTTACTTTCACATTTTATGAAAAATTATAATTTTGATTGTCACTGTTATTGCTGAGGTATGAAATTATTTATTTATTGATAGCAAATTCTGTGCTGCCTCTATTTGAGGAATCAAGGTTACCTGTCAGTCTAAACACACTCTCCCACTAAGAAATTATTTGGGTAGCTATTAGAAGTACTTGTACCTGGCATTAAAAGTCTTTAAACACTGGTAATTCATTTGTATCAATGCCAAAATGGGGGGGAATAACCTATATCAACTAGAATCATTTTTTTAAAGCACAAAAAGTAACTCCATCTCTTGTACAGAAGTGATTTTCAGGTATTCAAAAAAAGACAAATTTGAACCATTTGGCTAAAAAAAGAAAAATTGGTGTAGCTGTTTGGTTTTAGCATTATAAAGCTTTTATATTGTTTCATGGGACTATTTTAATTCTTAGTTGGTCTACAAATATAAAATTTAGAATTATTGTTAATATTGCATTTGGAATCTGGAAACTCAGTTTTGAGATCTGGTTCTTTTAGAAATTGTGTAACTATTGACAACGTAAATACCTGGGTATTAGGCTTCCCTTCCATAAAATGGAAATGCCTCCATAGTTAGGAACCGAAGAGAAAGAAATAAAATACAGTGGTGCATGTTTTAAAAGATGTTTGACAAGTCTTTGGAATTAATATGCTTCCACACCATTATTATTTTAAAATTCTTACAAAAGATCCTTATCTCTGTACTTCACAAAAGTGACTAACTAGTTCAGCCAAAGGAAATTAAGGAGCCCTTAGAGGTGGTAGCATTTTTGAGATTGTATTTGTAAGCCCTCTAGGAACATGTGAAAGCTAGGCAAAAAGAAAGGATTATTTTCTGGAAAAATTCATATCCAAGCCAAATGTTAACATAAATAAGTTTAAAATAATGCCATCTTTAATTTGTCTTCATTAATTAAAAATTATGAACTGCCCTAATCTATAAAGGAATTAAGTTTTTGGTTTTGGTGGGAAAAAAATTATTCCAAAGCTTATAGAATATCTATTCCAATCTTAGGGGGTTCTGCCTTTCATTGTTTCATTTGTTCTCCCAGTGTATTTCACTTTGCTGGATAGGGGTGTTCCCCAAATCAATTTGGGTTTTTTTAAGTGTTTTTTTACACATTCTTTAAAAGATTAATTTGTAATATAGACAATGGAATATATACAATTTAAGGAATATTAAAGGCCAAAAAAGCAAATAACCTGGAATTGTTTTTTAAAATTGAATCATACCTTACATATAGAGTTTTATATTTTTTCCATAAAGCTATTTATAGATATTTTTATTCCTATGTATTTTATCATTTTTTAAAAGATTTTATTTATTTATTTGAGAGAGAGCGTGGAAGCACTGAATACGAGTGGGGGGGATGGGGGTGGGGGGTGGAGAGGCAGAGGGAAAAGCAGACCCCCCCACTGAGCAGGGAGCCTGACACAGGACTCCATTCAGATCATGACCTGAGCCCAAGTCAGATGCTTAACAGACTGAGCCACCCAGGCACTGCTAATTCATAAATTTTCCATCATACCAATAGAAATTACAATAGTGATTAATTCTGACATCCAGTGAAGAAATTGAAGGTCGGGGGGTGATAAATTGGGGATGTAAACTCTCAAATTTAAGAACAGCATAATAATTTAAAACAGTATGTTACCGGCACAGGATTCATTTTATAGGTTATTTGCAACAAAATTTGATAGTCTAGAAGTATTTAAGAATTTAGTATGATGGTTCTATTATATATATATAAGAATTTAATACGATTGGAGGTATCTTCAAGCAATGGGGTTAGATTATTTAATAAACGTTATAACTGGTTAGCAATTTAGAAAAATAGCTTCTATTCCTATCACACACCGCAGTAATTTGCTGATGAATTACGCTTTAGTTCCTGAACTGCTTTCTTAAGTTAAATGCTCTTATATAGTGCTGTCATGCCTGTTAGTAGAAAAAATAACTTTTACAGCAGAAACAAAGCATTTATCATTCACATGATTGAAGAGTAAGGAATACACTGTCCTGGTGGGTCTTAGGAACAATAAATTTGAACTTTCATCAGTTCTCTGGAACTGATACTCATAGCGTGATCAGTAGATCAGTAACATTAACATCACTTAGGAGCTTGTTAGAAATGCAGAATCTTGGGGGCACCTTGGTGGCTCAGTCGATTCAGCGTCTGCCTTAGGTCATGATCTCAGGTCCTGGGATTGAGGGCCCCCCACCCCCACCCGGAGTCGGGCTTCCTGCTTGGTGGGGAGCCTGCTTCTCCCTCTCCCTGCCTCTCCCCCTGCTTGTTCTCTCTCTCTAGCAAATGAATAAATAAAATCTTTTAAAAAATGCAGAATCTTGTCCCCCACACCTACTGAGTCAGAATCTGCATTTTATCAAGGTCCCCAGGTGATCTGCATGCACATTGAAGTTTGAGAAGTTCTCCTTTAGAAGGGTGTTTTATATTAATGAAGTTAACTTTTTTTTATTTCTGGTTATAGTAATAGCAACCTTATTTACTATTGGTTCCACCAGGACCAGGATCAACCTAATTTTTTTGTAGTGTCAGAAAGGCTTATCTCCAAACATTATTGCTGTTCCCTTGTTTTAAAAACATGTCGTTGGTTATAGGGGCACCTGGCTGGCTCAGTTGGTGGAGTATGCAACTCTTGATCTCAGAGTCATGAATTTAAGCCCCACGTTGGGTACTGAGCTTACTTTAAAATAAAATAAAATAAAATATAAAATAAAAACGTGGTTATTAATATAGTTATAATTATAATAAATATAATATAAATATATAATTAATATATTTATAATTTATTTTGAGCATTTTAAGTAGTAATCATGACACATTTGCCTAGTATTCCAAAATTATTAGGGTTCTCTTTAAGGGACATTTATTAGCTTTTAGGATGGATTTAGGGTTTGTTTTTTTAATAGTCTTTTGAAAATCAGTTAGCTACAGGAACTAAATAATACAGATTTCCAACCAGATTGTTAGGGTTTGCATCCTGGCCTCTCATCTTACTACCTTTGTGTCAAGTTATTCAACTCCCATATCCTATTTTTTATCAACTGTAGAAAATTAGACTACCTATCTTATAGTTGTTAGGATTACATGAGTTAATATATGTGATTTCTCATCTTTATGTAAAGTTAGCTCTTTATTGTATGTTCTAGTATAAGATTGATATATTAATCTAGAACAGTTTACCCAAAATGTATTAAAGTTTCCTGTATTACAGTGTTTCCATACTGTATTGCAGTATTGCCACCTATCCAGGAATCTTGGAGTTATTCTTCATTCCCCATATCACCCAATATTTTCTTCCCTAAATCTACCCTTTCCCCTCCATCTCTGCTCCTACTGACTTGGTCTAGGCTTTCATCATCTCACTTGAATTTTTGCAGTGGCTGCTAAGGTGGTCCTCCAGTCCCATCCTCAGCATTACTAACAGTGTTGTTCTGACAGTGTCCTATCTGAAAGTTGTTACTGGCTCCCTTCTGGCCCATGGGTTCCTTCTCAGTAAAATGTGGTGGCGGAGGGTCGGGCGGGTTAATAAGATAATGTATTTCTGGATAGTAGAAATTCAATAAGTGCTGGTTAATAATATCTTTTTAAAGTGGGACAGTTTTTGGTTATCTTTCTGAAACTCTTCAGTTTATGTTAAAATTAATGTGTGGTCCATAAATACATGCTGGGTAAGGAAACTTAGAGATGAACTTAGGTCAGGAAAAAGGCAGTTTGGAATTAAAACATTAGCAATGAATTAATGAATGAATAGTGAAATGAAGAATAATAGCACTTAATCTCAGTTGTCTTTCTTCAGTTAATATATTTATTTACTAAAGAAATTTTTGAGTGTCTACACTGGCCGGTTCTTTATTATGCTTTGGAGAGGGGGCTGTTAGTGACATGTATATTTACCCATCAGTTGACACAAATTCCGAGTCTCCTAGTTAACTCCATTTAGAGGGTTTGTAATTCATGGTTAACATGTTTAGGCTTCCTTAAGGAAAAACTGTGGGACAAATTTGGGCATATTCCTACTAATCTTATTTTTAACAGTGGAGACTTAAAATTCAAGGAATATAAAGAGATTTATCTTCTATCTTAGTCTAACCAATAATTGTGTTTGTTGCTTAGAAAAAGCAGAGAGATCTTGCTAAAATGAGAAAATGTCTCAGACCAGAAGAACTGACAAACCAGATGAACCAAATAGAAATAAGCATGCAACATGAACAGCTGGAAGAAAGCTTTCAGGAACTTGTGGAAGATTACCGACGTGTTATTGAACGCCTCGCTCAAGAGTAGAGATTATTTGGCTCTGTACAGGAAGTTTGCAATTTCTGTACATTGTGTTGTGGAAAATCTGATGATGACTTTAATTTTAAACTCTTGTAACATTTACTTACATTAAAAGTTATCTATCTTATCTTTAGTTGAATATTTTCTTTTGGAGAGATTGTATATTTTAAAATACTGTTTAGAGTCTATGAGCATATATTACATTTTAAAAAAATACATAGCTTCTGAAATACCACTGCAATTGCTTCCCTTCTTAACAGTATAATAAATGCTTAGTTGTGATATGCTAATGTGTGATGGTATGATTCTTAAGTACTTTTACGATAAACTTTTTGTTCTTGTTAAAAAACTTCAGGTTTTCACATCACATAATACCCTCTAGGTCCATTCATTTTGTCACAAATGGCTTTTAGGCTTTTAAGCACCTTTAAAACGCATTTCTTTAAGGTCTTCCTAGTAATCTTGTTTTTCCTGTGTGATTTCTCCAAATATGAAATATTCCTAGTATAGATTTGTTTTGTTTTAAATAAATTCCTCTATTAACTGTTTGTTGGGGGTAGGATGGGTGGGTAAAAATAGAAAGGAAACTAGATACAGCCTAAAGCCAAAATGTTTGACATCACATATTAATTGAAGATAATTTATAAGTTAGCATAAATGTATAAATAAAATTTTGGGAAAAGTTAGCATAAATGTTTTATAAATAATAATGTAAAATAATAAATCAGTTTATAAAAGTCAATTTATACACCATTATTGAAGTATATCTTGTGTAAAATGAGGTTTATATGTGTTGTGACTTGTTACGAGGTTCTGAAGATGTCAAAGTCCAACAGGAAAAAAGCCCAAAGTAATGATAAACTGCTTCCTATAGTTTTACTTTATTTTTATTAGAGTATAAATAAATTGCTTGATATGGAATCATTAAAAGTAAAAGCCTAATGTTTATAATGTGTACCAGTAAGTGAGGTATTGTATAAAATAAAAAATGGGATGTAAGTTGAACTTTACTTTTAAAATCTGATTTGTTCAGTGCTTAAGGCAAAATCCCAACTTGGATAAGCACTGTCTTGTCCTTAGGTCAACTTTCCATCAATAAAACTTGTCAAACAGGAGAAGCAAAGTAACTAGTACCCTCTGGGTACAAAATGGCTGTGGCCAGCAGCACACCAACAGCACTAAGCCAAGCGCCCCTTCCAAGGTGCTGGAAAAGTTTTAGTCTCCTCTCAAAAGCTTATTTATATAGATGAAACTTGGATTTCTGAAAGTATATATGTACACAGTTTGTTCAGATAGAATGAACTAGTTCAGTTAAAATCCTTTCTGAAAATACATGAAAGCAATTTGCTTTCCATCTAAATTAGCTAATTTTAAAAATATTTATTAAAAAATTCACATTTGAGGGCGCCTGGGTGGCTCCGTCGGTTAAGCGACTGCCTTCGGCTCAGGTCATGATCCTGGAGTCCCGGGATCGAGTCCCGCATCGGGCTCCCTGCTCAGCGGGGGGTCTGCTTCTCCCTCTGACCCTCCCCCCTCTCATGAGCTCTCTCTCTCTCTCATTCTGTCTCAAATAAATAAATAAAATCTTAAAAAAAAAAATTCACATTTGAGACCTTGAGATGAGCTACCAAGTTGCAGGGGGAGGACAGTACAATCTAAACAAGTTATCTTTCAACATATTTTTGATGTAGAAACCAGAAAAAGCCAGTGGAATACCAATTTCTGTACTTTTTTTTAAGCAATGTTCTGTGATAAATTTATGGATAAAAATCTGATTTAGCATTAATCTTTGGGACTTGAAAGGCTGTACCTTCATTTGGATTTAGAAGGGTGAAAATCTGATAGATCTGTACCTTGTGTAGTGTAATTAAATACCAGGATGGGTGTGTAGTAGGACCATATATAAACCCAACACAGCCAACTTCTAGGTCCTGGGGATCACTTTTCCACCCTCCAGTAGTGGCCTTCACCCATTTTATCATCCACATACACATCTGTATTTACTTGTGGCCTTTACTTTTTTTCAGTGACCTTCCCTCCCCCATCACCCTTAATTTTTTCCCTGTCCTCCAAATTTTATTTTCTCTACGTGTAAGAACATGTTTCCTTTCTGAGCATCAGTTTTTTCATCTGTAAAATGAAGTTGTACTAGAATTATCTCTAGGTTTCCTCCCCCTTCCAAGATACATGTTTATCCTTTTCATATCTTTTCTTCTCATTCTAAATGCTTTTATATTAAAATGTGAGTGTAGATGTGGTATATATCTAAAGTATTTTTGTAAGTTATTCAAAATTCATAGTGAGTTAAAGTGTGAGAGGAAAAAAAACAAACACTGTGTGTCCCTGGTTGTCTCCAGATTGCCAGGGCCCCAGCTTGCTGTATCAGAACCCTGTTCTGAAAATTTATCTCCTCCACTGCCATCCTTGCCTACTAGAGGAAAGTGGACAGCAAAGCCCCCAGCACTGTATCAGAGAATGATTAGAATCATAGACCTTAGAGCTCAAAAGCTTTAATTCCTTAAACTCAATTTTAAATTCTTTTTATTAGAATTTAAAAGTCTGTTTAACAGTATTAAATACTGATTAAATAATAAAGTACCCATAATTCTTCCTTTTTTTTTTTTTTTAAGGTTTATTAGAACACGAGCTTAGGGAGGGGCAGAGGGAGAGAGAATCCTCTAGGAGACTCCCTGCCTGATGCGGAACTCAATCCCAGGATCCTGAGATGATGACCTGAGCTGAAATCAAGAGTCAGACGCTTAACCAATTCAGCCACCCAGTCGCCCCCATAATTCTTCCTTCTGAGTGAAATTATTTTACATTTGTATATTATCTCTGTATATTATCTCCGCATTTTTAATGTTTCTAGTGTTTAAAATGGTTCTTCTAACAGAGGAACAATATTTCATATTGATATGGCCATAATAAACTATTTACTTAGGTTTTTTTATTACAACATTCAAATGAATTAATGTCTTTGTGTATATATATTTTTGTATCTGTTAAATCATTTCCTTAAGATAAATTCCTGGGAAATGAAGTTACTGAGTCAAAAGGCAGGAATATCTATGGCTCAGTTATACAGACATGCCATATTTTACAGAATAGCTTGTAAATTACTAACATGAATGTGTGTACTACTTTTAACAATTTCCGTGGCATGGGATATTGATTTTGTTGTTTCAATAGTATAAAATCTCAAATTATATTCCTTTTGCTTAAAGGGAAGGCTGAATATTCTTCCATTTTTTAATGAAAATTTTTCCCTAATATGAATTAAACATTTGATTTTTTTTAATTTATCTTTTGGGATCTACACTCTCACTTTATAATAGATGGACAATAGTTCCAGAGGTTCATTTGTATAAGGTCACATTATAAATTTATTGCAAAGTCAGGACTATCCCCTAGACTTCTGACTTCTCCTTCAGTAGGCCAACCAAGTCTTAAGCTTGTCAGCCCACTAAGCTCTTTGTAAGAGGGGCTTTTTTTCATCAGCATCTGGAAAATACCTCTCTTGCATGACATTCACCTTAGGTACCAGACAAATACCCTAACTGCCCTCTTGTTTTTATAACCATTGAGGAGCAGGTATTAGGAAAAGGATATTTGGTTATAACAACTAAAAGTAATGATACCTCATTTGAAGTATGGCTTGAAGTTCCTCATTTTCTCTCAACATCTTCAAGTTTTCAACATCTACACTTTTTGTTTCCATATTCTTTTATATCTTTATTATAATACATATTTCATTCTCCCTTGTATTATATGTTATAATGGAGTTATACTGTGCATTTACTCATTGATTTGGGTAGAGCTGTCTTATATACACAAGTAGTGTGCACATAGTACAAAAATGCAAAAGGGCATACAGAAAAAACTTCACCCCAGTCCTCCAGAAACAACCCCGTTTCTGATCATTTTGAGTATATATCTGAATGTATATCACATATTCAGAGATAATATGCATAAATGAGCACATATGCATAGGTCTTTTATTTTACATATGGTAACCTACATATATTGTTCTCTAAGTTGCTTTTTATTTTTTTTAAGATTTATTTATGGAGGGGGAGCACGCGAGCAGGAGTGGGGCAGAAGGAGAGGGAGAGAGCACGAAGCCGGATATGGGGCTCAGTCTCACAACCCTGAGATCATGACCTGAGCCAAAATCAAGTTAGAAGCTTAACCGACTGAGCCACCCAGGCACCCCTCCAACTTCCTTTTTAGGCGATATATCTTGGGGCACCTCGGTGGCTCAGTCAGTTAAGCAGCTGGCTTTTGATTGCCGCTCAGGTCATGATCTTGGGGTCCTGGGATGGAGCCCCACGCCAGGCTCCAGGCTTAGTGGGGAGTTTGCTTGAGATTCTTTCCCTCTGCCCCTCTCCCAACCTGCACACACTCTTTCTAATAAATAAATAAATATTTTTGAAAAATAAACTTGATATATCTTAGAGATCATTAAAGCTATCTTGTTTAATGGCTGCACCGTATTCCATTGTATGGATATACTATAAATTATTTTACCAGTCCCCTATTATTTAGGTGGTTTCCAGTATTTTCCATCACAAACAGTACTGCAATGCGTACTCCTATACATGTGCAAGTATACCTACACACTGAAGCCCTAGAAATCATGTACCTTATTCTGATCTCATTCTTCTAGTGACTGTACTACATTTAAAACAGTCAAATTAACATGAACTAAGGTTACAGAAGCTTGAACTGTACCAATGTGGAATAAATTATGCATACTGGACTAATCTAACCATCCTCATTCACAGCTAGAAACATGAATTACCTTAAAGTCACAGTGATTTGAATGCTTAGGCATATGCACCTGACTATTTATGCCTTTAGTCTTGCTTAGCTCTTCTCAAACCTTACCATCCAGAATTGCTGTACAGCAGGGTTCCTCAATCTCAGCACTACTGACATTTTGAGTCAGATCATTCTTTGTTGTGTGGGGCTGACCATGTACTGTGAGCTACTAGATGCCATTAGCAACGTGTTTAGACATTGCCATGTTTCCCCTGGGGGACAAAACCACCCTTGGTTGAGAACCACTACTACATAGGATTGAATATTCATCCATGTTAAGCACTATTTTTTATTATGTAACACAGACATTGTACAAAAGTCAAAATGAGTAAGAGTACTTAATGAGAAGCTGCCCTCCCTTCCACCCAGTCACCCGAATTGTCACCCTTCTCCAGAGGCAGTTACTTTCACCAGCCTCTCTTGTGTCCCTCAGAGTTAATTATCAGTCTGCAAATATCTGT